TTCCCTGGAGAAGGATGTCATGCTTGGTAGGGTGGAGGGTCGACGAAAGAGGGGGAGGCCTTCAACGAGATGGATTGACACAGTGGCTGCGATGATGGGCTCAATATAGCAGGGATTGTGGTGCTGGTGCGGGATCGGGCAGTGTTTCGTTCTGCTGTGCATGGGGTCGCTCTGAGTCGGAAACGACTCGACGGCACTTAACAACAACAAACAAGCTGTTAGGGCATTAGAGAGAGAGCCAGATCTTCTGATGCAGTGTATCTAAAACGTATTCTTCCACCTCCCTTTCTATTCCCTTCTTCAAACAACTTTTTTCTTCTTTCCTGTTATAATCATCCAGATTTGAAGTCTGGAAATTGTTCCTGAATGAGACAAACTTCATCCTTCCAGAAAGGGAACAGTGCCACTGCCTCTGTCACCTCCAGCCCCAGAGTGTACAGCTCATATACCCTTTTGTGTAGTTTGCACATATTAAAAATCCTTTTTCCTTTCTCTACATTGGCAAAGCTAAAACAAGATGAAATTTTTAACAGAACTTTACTAAAAAAAACTGAGGGAAGATTAAATAAAACAGGCTGGCACAAACATATTTATAATAGGTTTTGTGTGTTTGGGTCATAGCTCCCTTCCCTTCCAGGGACGGAGGCACTAAGTCAGGGGCACAGTTCTTAGGGTGCATGATGAAGCACTCATATGGCCCACTCCTGACTCAACCCTGGGACATACTGAATCGTTATTTCTCTGTAGGGCACCTCTCCCCTCACACATTTAGTCAACTGCCAGATACCATTAATAATTCACTATCATCCCCCCCTTTTATATTTCCAACACAGCTGTGAAAGTTCTAATTGAAATTGCCATGACTTCACCCAAGATAAACTGTACAAATGACTGGTATATAATGTGGATTCACCTTTTGTACTTAAATTCTTAACTGATTTCAAACAAATCGTGACTTTGGTTTAATACCTGGTCTACTATCTTCTACTACCCAAGCCTTCATGCTGAATGCCCTTACTATCTATGCAGATGTCCCATTCAAATCTAGTTTCCTTCCTTATCTCTAGTTGCCTTCACCATTCATATCAGCCA